CCACCACAATACCCAGATGTTTCCATACTTTCAAAGCACATTTGCTCCCTGGAACCTGAAATGGTTCCCCACTGAATGCTCCAGATTTTCTCACAGAACTACCTGAAATCCTTGGACTTATTCTGAGGTCTCTGCCACCTTGACAGATTCACTCTTTTCTCTACTGGCTGTGTATTGGATCCGGCTTTGGCTGTGCTGATCTTCATACAGAAAAATGCCAAGGAGTACAAGGACCAAGACAGATACCCCAATCCTGATGAGATTCTCCTTTGTGTAATCCTGGGGCTGTAAGACTGGAGATTGTAGAAAAAAGAAATCACAGAGGTCAGGGAAGATGAAATCACCCCAGAAGACTGCTTCCCCTGGACAGGACTTCATCTTCTGTATTGAGTCCTCTTGCTAAGATTTCTTCTTACTCACCTGTCTTTGGGTCTGATATGTTTGGTGATAGCCTGAGGGGCTCAACTGCTTCTAAGGAAGAAAATATAGTACGTTTACACAATAGAGTACAACACAGCAGAAAAAATAATGACATCTTGAAATTTGCAGGCAAATGAATGGAGCTAGAAAACATCATTTCAAATGAGGTAACCCAGACCCAGAAAGACAATTATCACATGTCCTCACTCATAAGTGGTTTTTAAACATTAACAAAGAAAACCAACCTACAAATCACAATCTCAGAGAACTTAGACAACAATGAGAGAAAGAGACAGTATTGAAGAGAGACATAAATAGATATGATCTACATGGGAAGTAGAAAAAGACAAGATCTCCTGAGTAAATTGGGAGCATGGGGATCTAGGAAGAGGATTGAATGGGAGGGGAGAGACAGGAAGGGGAAGCAGAGAAAAATGTAGAGATCAATAAAAATCAATCCAAATGTAAAAAAACGGTAAAAAATTAACAACAAAAAACTTGCTTAAACATTACTTTTTCCTCTGTGTAAAATAATTTTGTTAATATTGATAGCATACATATAGATTTTTCATCTGATATTTTGTAAGGCAATAATCCTTCCCATTTAGCAGAAAAGTATCTACATTCCATGAAGAACTACAAACAACACATTGAGAGATCTTTGAAGATAGTCATGTCTCCAAACACATTCTATGCATGCATTAGCCCAGAAGACAAAGTTGTTGGTTGAAAGGACACTTAACTAAAATGAAAAATTTACTTCAAATGAAGAAGAGCTCATAGAGTTATCCTGTCTTTCCCATCAGGACACTTGTTAAGGGCTCACCTGACTTAAGAAAAGAAAGTATTGACAGAGGCTTTGAGAGACATCAGACTCCTGCTCTTAGTACAAAGCTGTCACCACTGTCTAATAGCACATGAATATATAACTTACTTTCTCCTAAAGGAAATATTGCATGGAGAAAGAAAGAAAAGGAAACGAGAGTTAATAAATTCCCTAGAATGATAAAAAAAACACATTTATTTCCTTTGTATGGCCCTTGAATGTACTATTTAGTGTCATTTAATACATTTGATTGTTTTTAATTTATAACTTCACTCTGAGACAATGAGTAAAATTTCTATAATGCAATACAGCTATTAGTATAATCATAAGCTTAGGATTTTCCTTTATAACCCAAGCTTGACCTAAATTTGTAATTCTCATGCCTTGGCCTCCGAAATGTTGGGATTACTTATATGCTTCATTCAACCTGGGTGTTAACTGAAAGGAACATGTTTTGTATGTTTCTTTAAAAGTTTAACACTGTTTTTAAGGACAACATAGAAAGAACAATTTGACTTTACATCCACCTGATCCCATGATACTAACATTCTAGTAGAGTTAAACTATACTGTTGTAAATCTATAGGTAAATAGTCTATTAATCAAGCTACAATTGGACAAAACCAAAATTCTTGAGTTACTTCTAATTTCATCCATATTGTACTATGCAATCTTATGTTGCTAGGTAACATATGCAATAGTTTTTTGCAAGGATATGTAGAGTTTATTTAGTGGGTACTGGGAGGGGATTAAAAAACATGGAGTATGGCAGCAAGCAGAGAGAAAGAGACAGTATTGAAGGACAGAGAGAGAGAGAAGAGGAGGAAAATAAGAGAGACAGAAAGCTGCCTCTTCAGAAGAAGTGAAGGAGTAAAGAGAAACAGAAGACAGTGGAGGCCAGCTTGCCTGGGGAAGGGAGAGATTGGGAATGGTGGAGCTTGTCTCTTAAAGGGACAGGGTACTTACAGGAAAGCCAGAAAATTATAACCTTGTATACATACAATATATCTTGTTTTTTGAGAATCTCCTGCATACATACATTTTGGTTTTTTTTTCAGAATGTCATGCATGCATACAGTATATTTGGATCACCTTCACCTCCCATTACTGCTCCTAAATCTCCCAATCCTTTCCCAACTTCACATCCTCTTCAAAATATTTTTTCATTTTATGTATATAAATACCTTGCCTGTATGTATGTATGTATACCACGTGAATACCTGGTGCCCAGAAAGTCTAGAAGTGGATGTTAAATCTTCTGGAACTGGATTCATGGATAGTTATAAGTTACCATGTGGGTCTCTGGAAGAACATCAAGTGTTCTAAACTGCTGAGCGATCTTTCCAACCCTCCCCTCTTTAAAAAAAAAATCCAAGACTAATTTGTACTTGGCTGGGCCATTGGTTTGCTAAGTAGATAATTCTATGCTAGTTGGGTTAGAGAATGGAGCTAGACTCTGCCCTCAGCATCTGCAACTAGTTTTTAAAAAGGATCAAAATTTTTGGACTTTAATGCTGGTCAGAGAATAGTAGCCAACTCATATCTCTGATGGTGGGAGGAGACATGACAATCTGAACTATCTGGAGGGTCAGCAATTAATTACTATCTAAATCTGGGTTTAGTGTAGCCTTTTTAACAAAAGAAATTGAGATCATAATACAGCTATATCTTTTGTTCCTTCTCTTTCTTCCTTTCAAATTCATCATGTACCCCTCTATACTCTCTTTCAAATTCATGGCCTCTTTTTCTTGTTCACACACAAACAAAACAAACAAATACACACATATATACAAAAATGTATTTGGTCTATATAATGTTATTTTTATGTGTTCAGGGCTTCTTATTCACTCTTCTGTAACAATGAATTACAATGGGCTTGTCAATTTCCTGGGTAGGAAAAGCCTTCAAAGAGGAGCTTACTGTTGTGGAAATGGTAGAAATAAATTATATCTTGTTTTTTCCTGTTTTGGAAAAAATTTCAAAGTTATTAAAAAAGTTCACATTTACAAAACAATAGCCTACAGAACTGGAAAAGACCTTCACTATGCCCACATCAAACAGAGGTCTAAAATTGAAAATACACAAAGAACTCATAAAATTGGTCATCAAAAGAACAAATAATCAAACAAAAAATGGAGTACAGATGTAAACAGAGAACTCTCAACAGAGGAATCTAAAATGGCTAAAAGATACTTAAGGTCAACATCCTTAGGCATCAGAGAAATGCAAATCAAAACAAACCCTGAGATTCCATCTTACACCATAAGAATGGCCAAGATCAAAATCACTGATGACAACTTATGCTGGAGAGGTTGTGGGGAAAGGGAACACTTCTGCATTACTGGCGGGAATGCAAGCTGGATGTCAGTGTGGTGATTTCTCAAAAAATTAGGAAACAAACTTCCTCAAGACCCAGAAATACCACTTTTGGGTATATATCCAAAGGATGCTCAATCATACCACAAGGACATGTGCTCAACTATGTTCATAATAGCCTTGTTTGTCATAGCCAGAACCTGAAAACAACCTAAATGCCCTTCAATTGAAGAATGGATAAGGAAAATGTGGTACATTTACAAAACAGAGTACTACAGAGCAGAAAAAAAATAACATCTTCAATTTTGCAGGTAAATTTATGGACCTGGAAACATCATTTTGAATGAGGTAACCCAGACTCAGAAAGACAATTATCACAGGTACTCACTCATAAGTGGTTTTTAGACCTAAAGCAAAGAAAATTAGCCCACAAATCACAATCACAACAATGAGGACAATAAGAGAAACTTACATAGATCTAATCTACATGGGAAGTAGAAAAAGACAAGATCCTTTGAGTAAATTGAGAGCATGAGAACCATGGGGAGGGCTTAAGGGAACGGGGAGGTAGAGAGGGGAGCAGAGAATAATGTAGAGCTCAACAAAAATCAATAAAAAAAGTTCACATTTATAAATTTCTGAAAAAGAGAAACAATATGCAGGTATAACAAAGAAAATAGAGTAGAAACACCCAAGGCAGCATTGAAGTGGAGTATGGTGGATATCCCCTGTTGCTGATTCCCTAGGACTTCTCATTTCCTTCCAGTCTAAGAGTTCTCTGAGATAGACAATAAGTGGACCTTTAAGTTCAGAAATGTTAGATCAGAGACTGTAAGAACCATGGGTCGCTAGTGTATAATGTGATATATGAAGAAGATCCTTGAGACTCATAGCATATGCAGGTCTAGAGTGCACAGCACTCACAGAGAATTCTGTCTGGTCATGACTGAGCTATGTTTTGGGGTCTTAGACGTGTTGGTATTTCAGCATAAGGAGAGAACTATTCAGGTTCTGTGATTAGCAGAGCAGTATTATTTGATTTTCTGAGATCAGGATTGTGACAAAGAGTTCTCCTGGTATAGGATGGGGGAGGGTTTGCCCTTATTCTGACCTGAGATTTAATCATGAATGAAATATGAATATTTTGTCTCCTTATTTTCTCTGACCTATTTCTTTTATTCCATTCCCTATCTCCATCTCTCTTGCTTTTTGAAAGTCACATCCATTGCAACACCTGTAACCTCTTCGGGACTCTTCACAAAGTATGTGAAAATTTTGGGTTTCTGGTTAAATGTGGTGAGCTCTTTGTATGCAGGCAAGAAGTCCAGTAAGTAACTGGAGCAGACAACTTGGGGAAATGGACATGTGACCCTGAGTTTCTGTAATAGCCCCTATGGGGAAGCTAAAAGATTCTGAAGAAATCAACCTAAGAGAAACCAACAGAGGACTGGAGGACAAGGCACTGGGAGAATTCCCATCTTTCTTCATGGAATAGAATGGTTCCATCATTGATAATGCCCAAGGAATACAAGAGGGTAAGGTTCTTACAGAAGACAGTGACTTCTAGGCAGATCTTGAGGAATGTGACATTGGGGTTGAGGTGGTTTTGCCAAATAATCTGCCAACTCCCATTCTTCCCTTGAAGTGCTACTGAACTTAACACTCTGGTAATCTTACTTGGGAGCCAGAAACACTGCTTAGCAAACCATTGCCTTGACAGCAGGACTCCTGGCATATAGTTTGGAGTCTCGATAAATGATTCATTGATGGAGTTGACTCACCTGATATGTGTACTTCCAGGGGGTCACTAGGCATAGACAACTTTTGTGGATCTCTTTTGTAGAAGCCATAACATCTGAATGTCCCCATATTCCTGGAGGTCATAGGACCCAAAGAAAACATAGCTTGTAAATGCCCAGTGAAAATATAGTGTGAGTCCAGGGTTCTGGAGAACTTGGGTTCTCCTTCCTTGATCAAAATAAACCCATCGTATTTCTGCCATGAGATACATTGAAGGGTCACATTCCCTCCTGCATTCACAACGTGGCTGTCAAGGGCTGACAATCTGGGTTTGCTGTAGGGATCTCCTAGAAGAGATGGAGAGAATATGTTAATGGACATCTCAGTAAGATGTGAGATGTAAGGGGAACACTCTTTTCCTATGATTAGAGCCTGAAACTTGAGGTCCTAAATATAACCTTCTGTAACACCACCAGCTGCAGGAAGGTCACTGTGCTCTGGTAAATCTTCAAGGTTTTTTATAATAACAGCTTATAACCCTCAATGATACTATTTGATCGAGGAACAAAGTCTAGTTCCTAAACTCTAGTGGAGTTTGTTTATGCCAGAGATTGGGGCATCTCTTTTCATATATATGGTACTTGTGAGCCCTTGATGTCTCCGCACATTAGACAGTCATCTTCATATCTCTGAGGACCACAAAGCTTGGCTGAACCTGAAGATAGCTTGGGGATGGACCCTTGCAAGGAAATCAGAGGTTCAATCCTAGATCCCCCCACACACAGATCTCATTGTTCAGTCTCAGCACCCACCTGGTTTCTGCAGCACTAGCTCATCTTTGCTGTTCTCCATTCCATTGCTCAGCTTTTAGCTAGCCCCTGCTTTCAAGTGAGGTGCAAAGATCTGAGACAGCAGAGAACACTCACCTGCCAACACTGGAGACCTGAATCCCAGAGTCAGTCCTGAAAGAGAGTTCCCTGTGAGTTTTATCCCTCACTGAGCAGACTCTCCCATGCCAAGAGCCCCTGAGTTTTCTGGGATTTCCAGAAGTCCAGTCAGTGCTGGGCTATACACCCAATCAAGTTCCAAACAATACAATCTCCTTCCCCTCTTCATATCTCACCCAGACAGAGCATGGCTATGGCAGTGAAAATCATGGTATCTCTTCTCAGTAACTCCAACTGTGCTTATGAAGGTGGTTGAGTTTGGGAAACTGAGCATTTCCAATCAGTTTGTTGAAAAGTCACATCCACACAGAAAAGGGAAATGAGAGCAACTATCATTTATTTTGCTAGTAATTTGACTTGGACAGACTCCAGATTCTGTAATCACTTCTCACAGAAATTTCACTTCCCCCAATACTACTCAACATATGCTTGGTGTGTTCTCAATCGTAGCTACCAACATAACTGGAGCCTCCCTTGTTTTATTGGCCCCTTCCAGTGGAGGAGGACTGATGGAAGGTCATTGCCCTGCACAGTTGCATCATGTGCTTTCCTTCAGGCTTTCCATCCATTTGTGTGCTCACTGCTGTGAGGTCTTCATCATGGACATTCATCTAACCAGCTTGGGAATACTTCATAAATATTCAGGTTTGTGATATAGGCAGACACCAACAGAAAAAAAAAACAGTAAGCCACTCACTGTGGCTCATGTAGAGTTTTATCTTGGGGATGGGCAGAGAAGAGAACACACAAAAATGGGATAGGAAATACAGCTGTTCTCTTGGTTCTGAGTATGGGTTTCCTCCTAAGAGCAGCCTCCTGCTTGTAATTCCCTCTTTTCTTAGCAATATCATCAGTTTCCATCTCTATAGGAAAACCCTTCAGAGTTCATCTTGACTCCTCTCTGTTTTGTTTTGTGGGGCAGAATTCTTCTTGATAGAATCAGGGCTGTTATCTTTTCATGTCTATATGTCATTCACTTCCCATGCCAGGTTGAATACTAGCATATTATGTTTGAGATTTTTCATGTGGAGCCTCCTGTGAGTACTTCGCTCCTTAGATTGTCCATGGTATTATGGTGACTTAGACATTCAGAAGTTCAAACAACTCAGTTCACTCAAGTTTAGCCTGGTATTGGCATAAGAACAGACAGGAAGACCAATGGAACCAAATAGAAGATTTGGATATTAATCCACACACCTTCGAACACCTGATTTTTGACAAAGAAGCAAGAAAAATCAAATAGAAAAAAGAAAGCATATTTAACAAGTGGTGCTAGCATAACTGGATATCAACATGTAAAAGAATGAAAATAGACCCATATCTATCACCACGCACAAAACTCAAGTCCCCCAAAATAAAGCCAGCCACACTGAACCTTATAGAAGAGAAAGTAGGAAGTACACTTGAACGCATTGGCACAAGAGACCACTTCCTAACTATAACCCCAGCAGCATAGACACTGAGAGAAACAATTAATAAATGGGACCTTCTGAAAGGGAAAGCTTCTGTAAAGCAAAGGACACAGTCAACAAGACAAATTGACAGGCTACAAAATGGGAAAAGATCTTCACTAACCCCACATCAGACAGATGTCTGATATCCAAAATATACAAAGAACTCAAGAAATTCGTCAACAAAAGAACAAATAATTCAATAAAAA